AATAATAATAATAATAATAATAATAATAATAATAATAATAATAATAAAAAGGGATTTTATTCCCTTTTTTCCATTGACAGTCTGTAACGTCCTACCACTCTTTTGTATTAAAACAAATAAAAACACATTCACAAGCTGGCACATCATACCTGAGCTGGGATATATCTATCTATCTATCTATCTATATATATATATATATATTATATATATATGATCTAAAAGTAATGTAATGTAAGCAGTTTGTAAGAGAAAAAGATTGTAGCACTGTGTTTCCAGAATAAAAGTAAGACTATAAGATTACAAGAGCTAGGATTTAAATTAAAAACTTTCCCAATTTCAAGTTCCAACAGTCCAGATTTGAACAGGCTGTTAGAGAAAACTACAAAACAGAAATCAAAAAGAAGAAAGTCAAACAGTAAATACATAATAATGAAAACAACACGCTCCTTAAACATTTAAGACCAAATAGCTGTCGAAGAGTAGTTTGTAATGCTTAAAATCTCATGCACGTTCTTTACAAACCACAATGTTTATGTGTTCGCCGCTCGTTTGTTCTCTCGTTCTTTCCTCGTTAAAGTCTTATCGCTCTTTTGAAAGATTGTCAAAAGGAGGAAACGTAAAGGTCAGCTGGGTTTCTAAATGATTGTAGAGGTTGCGTTCCCCATCAGGCCTCTTCGTCAACTGGACTTCTGCCAATATACAGTTCAACAACTTTTTAAGCATCTCTATAGACTTCGTCTCTTGTCCGAGCATGCTCAGTAAACAAAGCCACGAGTCCTGAAAGTCCACCTGAAGCTCTCTGTAATAAACTTCAAAGGTTTGTCTGTTTATTCTGAGAATTGTTCTTCTCCTTTCACGCCTGGCACCCTGCTCAGTTGGCACTGACGGCCTCCTGTGTCTCGTGATCGCTGCTATAGTCTGATTTGGGCTCATCGTCAAAGTCCTCGTACATGTCCATGTCGTCGTCTCCGTTGGGGTCGCTGGGCAGGTCCAAAGCTCCGACTCTGCCTCCATTGCTGGCTCCGCCCCCACCGGGCTCAGACTTCACCCTGTACGTGCTCTGAATGATGGGGATGTTGGGTTCGGGGCTGACTGAGTTGCTTGAGCAGTCTGAGGTCAGGTGTGGGGGTGGTGTGACTGTTGCCATGGTTATTGCACCTGGGTAAACTCCGCCTCCTCCTGGGCTGTTGCCCAAAGAAATCTGTGGCTGAGGGCTGAGAAACAGGAACAGAAAAAAGAAAGTAAGTATGGGATTAAGTTCAGGGGGAAAAAGCTGAAAATTAAAACAAAAAACAAAGTATGAGCAAAAATTAGAGAAAAAAATATTGTGATGTAGAGCGTTGGAAAAAAAACATCAATATTCTGCAAATGGGAGCCCTATCTATCCTGCGCTGGATACAATTTACCACATATAAACTTTCCCTCCACACAAAACTAACAAAAACCCCAAAATACCAGTTTCTTGCCAGTAGATGGGGAGGAAGTCCACTTTACTGATTAATCAAAACACGGATAAAGTATATTCTTAGAAATAATTTCTGCCAGAAATTCACTCAAAACAGTATTTGATATATTGAGCATGGACTTTGTTGTTAGTATTTGATACTGTTGACTATTCCTTTTAAATTATTACCCAATACAACTCAGAATCACAGTTTAATGATCACATGGTCATCAAGACAGGCAAGACAGACAAAGAATATACATATATACATATATATATATATATATACATATATACATATATATATATACATATATACATATATATATATACATATATACATATATATATACATATATATATATATACATATATATATATATATATACAT